TTTTTTTGCATCAGACTTGATCTTTTTTGGTCAGTCTCAGCGCTTTGATCGACGTTTTATCGCTGAAATGCTGAACACAGGTGCTTCTTTATATCATAGCTTCTGAATCAGACCAGTGACGGGTGATAACAGCACCATCTGCTGAGGACCGCTTGTCTCTCCCACACAGGATCTCGAGGAAGATTTCACAGAACTCGGCCCGCCGTTTTGAATCCTAATCGGAGCTGACAAGCCGCTCGACCTCTGGGGTTTGGTTTTTTTAACATTCTGACTGGCCTACATACACTTTTAGGGATTACAAAACAGGCCCGGATGAAGCAAAATCACAACGTTTTATTGCAACCAGGAATGGAAAACAGTGGACTTGTTGTGCAAGATTGCAATTCAGAAGTGAAATTAACAGCACTTGTTTAGTGGGAGGTATATAGCTGCATAGAGGTTCATGTGAATGATAAACAAACTTTAGCCTGTAGCATCATCATTTAAAACGCTTAGATAAGAGAAACATTTATCAGAATAAATCTCATGTGATAAAAAAACGTGTGAGCACCGTGCCTTGTCTGGGTTAGTGGCTAATTTACGAGACAAAGCTTTCGTTATAAACAGGTTTTAAAAAGTTAGTTATACACAAACAGGTTAAACGTGAATCGAGCAGAAGCACCCAGAGGTTCATGGGAGCTGCATATAGATAAAGTTGTGCACAGAGTTTAAAGTGATTAAAAACATGTTACTGTGGAATTACTCCAACAACAACAACGACGACAACGACTCCAGAGGTTTCCGCCCGTCGCTCAGTGTCGGCTCGGCCCGACTCGGCCCGGCTCGGCTCAGGCCGCCTTCTTCTTGATGCTGAGCAGCTGAGAGCAGCTCTGCAGAGCCCAGTACAGCAGAGAGAGGGAGACAAAGGCCTGGACAAGACAGACAGACAGAGGAGGGTTAGAGGCCTTCTGTCAGTGGATTACATTCAGAATAAGAGGCTGGAACACTTTGCAAGGACTGAGAACGTGGAGGAGATGAGCTGAACTGTTAAACACCAGCGATGGAAGCTGAACATCTGCTCAAACTTCTGAGGCTTCAATCTGTGGACGCGTTAACGAGCTGAAGTTAAACTGTCTTCAGTGGGTATATATGTGGGATTATCAGTGGTTTGGAAAGACATTTCTCTTTAAATATATACATATATATTTGCACTATTGCTAGAAAATATTTAAATATCACCTGACATGTCAATTACTTCCTCAATCAATCTATTGTTTTTCAGCTCAGAACAATTCCTGAGACACTTTCATTAAATCTGAATTATATTCAGCATTTTACTATCAGAGAAGAAACCTGTCACGTGTTCACATTTGAGAAGCTTGAACCAGGAAATTCAGCCATTTTTGCTTTAAAAATAACCATTAATATTCATTTTTTAACCTCTAGACATTAGTTTTATTTTATTCGGGCAATAAATCATCGATTGTACACGTAACGCACTGATAAATCACTTTTAAAATAATACATAAATCAGTTTTAACCTGCTTAAAAAATCTGCCGACTCAACAAGCAACACCTCCAGAAAATATGATTCTATTTTTTATTTTATTTTTGGGGCTACTTCGGTTTCTACTATCTCTACAAACTTGAAATTAGATGTTTTCTACATTTAATATTGTAGATGAGATGCTGGCTTTTATAAACCTTTGTTTGTAGATCTGATGACAGATTTATGTTTTTATTCTGCTCTCCAAAGTGTCACACTGAATAAAAGCAGGTTGAATCGTCACGACATTAAAAAACCAAACCCCCACTGACACACGGAGGCCCACTGGGAGGATAAGGTGAAGCTAACTGGTGAAAGTGAATCCGTAATTGAAAGAAAACAGCGAGAGGCCTCCGATGCAGCCGGGACGATGTAGAAAGTGGGCTAAGAGGTTAAGGAGCAGGTCTTCTCCCCCGGCGCTCTGGCGACGAGGTCAGAAGGGTCAAAACCGAAAAGGGAACTCGCTATTCGGAGAAAATAAAGGAGGAGGAGGGGGACCAGGCAGAAGCAGGCCTTCGCCTCCACCCCTCGCTGCGTTCTGCCCCATAAACTGCATCCTACATCGCAACTCAAGCCAAAACCAGAGCGTTGTCCATCACAGGCAAAAAAAAGCCTGATGGAGGGAAAAAACAAAGCTGTCCTTCCTCGTGGACACTGCAGCTGTTTTCCTCTGAGGACGCACTGATCTGCTTTTCTACCTGCCGCCCTGCTGAGAGAGGACAGGAGATAATCGGCAGAAGAAACAAAGGAGGAGGAGGAGGGTTTATTGATGCTGATTAGAGATTCTAAATATGCTTTTTTAAAGTTTCCCTTCGTTTCACTGCTCGGCACCAAAGAACATCACGTCTGTAGCTTTAAAATCAAACCAGCCAATAAAGCAGGTAAATGAGCTCCAGCTGTGACAGTAAAAATATTAAATATGACGTAAAATAACATCCATGATCTATAAAAAACTACTTTTAATTTCAATTTCAATACTTTAATGGCATTTTAGTGATGATCCTGATAGAATTTTAGTTACAGAAAAATAGATTTTTACTTGCAATGAAAGCCTGACTTTAATTAAAAAACTTTTATTCTTTATTCTGACAGAGAAAACTATATGAGAATAAAATATAAATGCACTGTGTGTTTGCAATTCTTAAATACTGTGAACCAAAAGTAGTAAAACATTCATACCGGAGTTCATCTATCCATCATTACTTTGATTATTCACAGATAGAAAATAATTAAAAACTAGTCAAAGAGATTTTTAATAAAATGAATTAATGTCTGTACAATTGCAGCAAGAAGCATCTCATATTTCTGTTTTTTTTTAATTCTGCATTTATTCAATTTGCTATTTTGAGTTTTACGAAGTGATTTAATTTCTTTAAAACTGTGTTTTCACGCTAATGTTCGTAACGAATAGCTTTTCCTTTTAATGTTTCTGTTATTCTGTAAAAACTCTCGCTGGCTTTTGCTGTTGAATTATTTACTTCACATGCTTTTATTGTCATCATACACAAGGTACAACGAAATCAAAAGATGGTCTCAACAGCTTTTCTCAAGCACACGCTTTAAAAGTACATTAAAATACACAACGTAGAGGTGAAGTTATCCAGTCAGAGGACCACAAAAACAGTTAATAAACTGTTCGAAGTTAGATGAAGAGAGCAAGTTTCCTTCACTGGATCTACACTGCAAAAGGTAAATATGGACAAAATGTTTTATTAAATATATAAACCAGCAACGAGACAGAATTTCTGATTTAAAGCCTTTCTGTAGGAACGTTACCAGCAGGTTTCACACTGTGCCGTCAGAAACCTAAAAAATCCCGACGACGCCTCCACTGGACTTCCTGGATCACCGTGTTCATCCACAACCTGCTCCTCCTGGTGACTCCACTAAATACGAGAGGCTTTAAAGTCCAACAACAGATTAAAGATAACGTGAAGCCGGATCGTGACGGATTGGGATCGAGAGCGGCGAGCGGGCCTGGCAGAACCTCGCAAATCACGTTTCACTCAAACCCGAGGCCCGAACGCCAGCGAGGCTTCGATCAAAGCCGCATGTGGAGGGAGGGCACCTACTTCTCTCTGCTCCCATCCCTCCTCATTCACTACGCTACATTTTAATAGACTCTGCAGGAAATCCATGTGGGACGGATTACACAGTGGAAGGAAGCAGGTTTGATCGTCTACAAATAAGCACCGCGTCCAGACAGCGGCGGCTCCCGAAGTAGACATCTCAGCAGATCCACTCACACTCACTCCGTTATGGGCAGAAGGCACTTCGTTAAGGGCAGTCGTACGGAAAGCCACGAACATGTGGCTTTTGTAGTGCTTCCTGCTTCTTCGGTGACCTTTATTTACTCTGGGAAGGCTTTTCCTCAGGACCAGTCTGCTGCAGCTCCAATCAAACACTCAGAATCGAGCGTGTTGATCAACAGCAGCTCAGTTACTCAGAGTTTATTTGGTGCAGCAGTTCTGCAACAAACTTCTATGATGTTCTGCTTTAGTTGGAGCTGTTTCTGAAAGGTGTTGTATGGTCCCTCTGCGGTGCTGTACTGACACGGGTTCTATTTTTTTGTCTATCTAGCATCTATCTATCTTTCCCTGAGGTCTTGTACCAAAGGGATTAATAAAGTTTTATTCTAATTCTATTTCTAATCTCATTTATATCAGTGGTGGTTGGCTGAATAGCTCTTGCATGCAAAAGTACACTTCTAGATGAACTGTGCTGCACAGTGGCGCCACTCTCTGGTCAAACAGTCCAGTTTTTGCACTTTAAGAGGAACATCACATGCCACTAAGGTAAAACAAGTCTTTTTACGTGTAATAAACATTGAAAGAAGCATTTAATGGGCATTACTCAAGTAAAAATGCCCTGAATCCACGTTTCAACACAGTGAAACTGCCTCTACTAGAAACACCAGTTTAGTTATTGACACTAAACTGAGAGTTTAATCCTCAGTAAACAACGTCCAGAATCCAAAATCTTCTGGACGCTTAAATCATAGTGAAATATCACTGATCATTTAAAGTGAGCTACTGGCTGTTTCCACATAAAACCATCTGTTCTGACCTCCACAGCCACACCGTTCCAGCCCTGCATTGCATTTTGGGTGATACTGATGGATATGACGCATCGTGGAGATGCGTTGAACACCCCGGGGTGCACTTGGTTACAGCCTTCCAGCCTTCAGCGGGTTAACATGGCAGAGGTCCGCTGTTCTCCGACGCAGCTGCACTCGTGATTGAAATGAAAACAAGGCAGAATGGCTGCTGTCAGACGTGTGATATATGACCTGTAATGGGATGTTTCCAGAGCTCCCTCTCCATATGGCTGCCTACAGTCCACCAGACCTGGCCTGAACTGTATCGGAAAATAATTCTGAGCTTTTTGTTTTGGGCTGGCTGTGCAGCCGGGGTGGGTGGAGTCTGCCGCTGCTGCTGCATGAGGACATTGCTGAATTGCTGAAAATAATGGTCCTTGACCCGAGCATTATGAGTCCTGATACACAAACAACACACGGAAGTTTTAAGTAGAACTGCATCTGTATTTTCTTTTAGTTCTTCCTTATGAGGATTTGGCTGATTTGCAGTGAGCAGCTCTGCTCGCCATGTGGCTGCAAACACAAAGGAAACCAGCGGTAGAAAGCATGTTAGTGCATTTAACTAAAGCAAACACCAGTACGTCTATTCTGTGTTTCTTTACGCCACATTTCAGAGGAACATGTAGTACAGCAGTCGTATAGTATAGTGCAGCACATTTACTGGACAGTTTTAGTTGTTCTACTGCAGATTAAAGGCTCTGCACACCCGTACAGGTGTCTTCAGCTACACTGGCTGATCGGACTTCTGGTCAGGTGTCGGTTTGTTGGAGCAGACGAAACTCTGCGCACTATAAATGGAAACTAGGTGAGTTTCCCTGATACAGCTGGTACAACAAGACAAACACAGGGCGGTGGGAGATGACAATCAGACTGACAGGTGACGCATCCAAAGGAAAAACTTAAACCCTTGTGCAGGATCTGTTGTGTTATTGGGGTTATTTTGCTGGCATGTTTTGAGTCCCCTTGTCTCTTCATACAGAAGGATTAATGCAAATGGTAAATGGTCTGCATTTCTCATTCACACACATTCAAACACCAATGGTGACAGAGCTGCCATGCAAGGTGCTGCCTGCCACTGGGAGCAGCTTCGGGTTCGGTGTCTTGCCCAAGGACACTTCGACTGTGGAGGGACGGGGGATTGAACCACCAACCTTGTGATTGGAGGACAATCCACTCTACCACCTGAGCCACAGTCGCCCAAATCAATGCACACTGAATGGTTCGATGGAAATGATGGTCGGCATACACCATGGCCTTCACAATCCCCACGTCTCAACCCAGCTGAA